GGACTTTTGCACTTTGCCCAACACCTCCAGCACCGTCACCTTTTATGAATCCCGTCTTCTCCCCCTCCCCCCCCCTTTTCAGCCCGGAGGTACCCGGAAGGTCTGCAAAGAGTGCCATCAACATGGATTTGGGTTCTCCCCCATCCTCGACCCGCTACTCCTTAGACCGTCGTACATTGGACAGCATCGGCAGGGAAGGTTCCTTTGCTTCTTCTGCATATGTCCCCCCCCCTCCCTTTTTCCCCGGCTTCCCTCTCTCCCTCCCATTTCCCCCTCTCCCAGGCCCCTGCCTTCCTCCCAACCCCCCTACTACCCCCCACATAACCCCCCCAACCCCCCACTCACCCACCCCACACCCCACCCCACCCACCCCCCCACTCACTCACTCACTCACCCGGTCAAAGGGCCTCTTCAGCTGCAGCTGGGAGACCTCCTTGGTATCAGCGAGAAGGTCCGCGATGAGAGTCTGCCGCTCGCCTTTGGGCTTTGCGGACGCGTTGGGAAAAACCCTGGGGTCCGGGGCCCCGGGGGTGAAGCACGCATGGGGGTGAGGAGGAGAAGGGGAGGGAGATTGGATGAGGGGAGTGGCCAAGCCTCGTTTCCTTTGTGAAAAGAATTGACTGAATGGCATGGCAGTGCAAAGTGTTGTCGTACCGTGTGGGTGTTGGCTGGCCGGCCATTCCAACCTTGCAGTTCCCACCGCCATTGTCTATGGCGACGACGGGGGGAAGAGACATGGTGCCGCCAAAGGTGGCAGGGCCCGCGCAGACGGGCGGGCGCCCGCGCGGGAAAAAGCGATGGGGACGGGGCGGGTTCGCGGGAGCCTTTCTCCCGCTGCCCTAAAGAGCAAGCATGTGCTTCTTGGACGGGAGAAGGCTCCTCTCAGCGTGCGTTTGTTTGGTCGCAGGTCGGTCAGATTTGCAAATTGGAACGCAAGACAATCTCAAGCGAAGTGCCTGAGAGCTGCACCTAGGTATGATGATTTCCTTCGTTCGCCTCCTCTTAGTCTTTGTGCGTATTATGTATTGATCGTGCATGTGCCCTTCAAGAAACGCTTCAGCAATCACGAAAACAAAGGAGAGGTTCGGGATTGCAAACTAAGCACAGCGGCGATTGCATGAGCTACGTAAAGGCGAGTTAGAAGGAAGGAGTGGGAAGAGTGAGTCGTATCATGGCGAACCATAACTGCTTCGTACAGAGCTCTTTTTCCAACTGCTTTTGTTCGCAGGCGTCACCGCAGTGCCAGCGTACGCGTATTCATAGCCCTGTGGGCAAAACACCTTTCTCATGAGATGAACTACTTGCCTGCCGGTCCCAGACAACTTCCGTGAATGCAGCGAAGCAGGCACGCCATGGATGAGTCTGGGAAGGGCGTCTCGCTACTTGAGGCACCCTCGGATATACTGGAGCTGAAGTTACAGGTTCAGGAGGAGCTTGATCGCGAGCGTGAAGCAGCTGCACAATCAGCTCGCAGGGCTTTCGCTTGCCGGGTCGTCGCCGTTGGCTTCGCGGTTTTATTCATCATCCTATTCAGCTTCAAAGTGTTAAGCGAGTCAGCGGACCAGCGCCGGAGTTTCAGCTCCTCGTGCATGCACGCACTGGGCGGAGGCTCTGTGGGTCCTCGAGGCAGCCTGCTGCATTTCGACCCACGCTGTACTGAAGAACTCAAGGTGGGGCTTTACGGACTCCTGCTGTTGCGGTTGCTCGGTTGTTGTGATGTCAAGCAGGATGGCACTTATCTTGTGTGGATATTCCATACGTATCAAAGTCATGCTGTGCTATGATTCAGGAATACTTCGACCAGGCGTACTATGAGGAGGTTCGCCGTGTCTCGGATGAGGCAATTGCTTATTTCCGGCAGCAAATTACTCGCCACCAGCAGCAGGAGGCTGCCGGAGCGGTCGCGCCTGGCTCCAGCCGCGGAACTGTCATCTTTGATATTGGTAAGCACGCACCCTCTCCATCCCCTACAAGCCACCCCGTCCCCCATCCCACCTTTCGCCGTTACAATCCCTACCAAGGATAACTCCTCCCCAAATCCCTCCCTCCCCAAATCTCTTAGACGAAACTGCTCTTTCCAATATGGATGGATTCTTCGGCGGCAGCTCCTGGTCCCGACTGTTTGTACGAGAATCTCCCAACCGCTGTATGCGACCGCACCTTGAGTACGCCAACCTGGAGCCGCTGCGCCTCCAGCTCATCGGCGATACGGGCCAGCTGGCTCCCGTACAGCCGCAGCGGCGACCGCTCTGCAACTCGCCGCCGTTGCGGGCTACACTCGATCTGTACAACTTCCTGTACGACAATAACTTCACCGTGGTGCGTGTGTGTGTTTTCTCCTGCGCAAGGGGATGTCCGGTGGGGGAGGCGCGGCTAGGGGGGTGGTACCGGTCAGGAGGGAGGCCACGAAACTTGCAATAACAACGGCATGCAATAACAACAGCAAGCCAACAAGACGTGCCTCAGGACTGAGGGGCCAATTTGTGGGTAGCGAGGGGGGGGGTGGGCCGGGAAGGCGAGGGGGGTATGAGTGTGTGCCTTAGCAGGGAGGGGGGTCATTACACAACACACAGCCGGACCGAAGGGTTTGAGGGGGGGAAGTTGTGAACTTAGCGAGGGTGGGCGAGGAGTGAGCAGGAGTGAGCAGGGGTTTCGGTGAAGCTCAACTTTTGAGGGGGGGAGAGGTAGTAAGTGCGCCGTGCGGGGCACTCTGGAACAAAACCCAGATCGGCAAAATTTGGATGTAGATATATGTAGATGTAAGGCACAATTTACCCCCCAACTCACATATATTTATGCATACGTATGTATGTACGTACACGAACAGGTCTTTCTGACGGGCCGCAGTGAGGATGCCCGCTCCGAAACCGAGGCGAACCTGGCGGACGCGGGTTACGGCAAACTGTGCTCTCACGCGACCACCGCCCCGGCCAGCACCACTGGCGCCGAAACCACCACTTCCGCCAGCCCGTACACCACCACAACCGCAACAACAACCGCGACAAGCACAGCGTCCGAATTCGCCGCTGCCGCCACTGCCTCCGACCCATTTGCCGACACGGAGCGCCCCCGCCACCGCAGCCGCCGGCAGGCGCTGCAGTACAACGGCGGCGCCGCCGCCACCACCACTACCCCTACCTCCACCTCCTCTACCTCCTCTTCGGGGCTACCTTTCGCTGGGCTGCTCTTCTCCCCCCCTTCCGCACCGCCCACCAGCCGCTGCTACACGGAGCTGCTGATGCGGCCGGTGGGGGATGAGGGGCTGGCGTCGGTGGTCAAATCCGCGGCTCGGGCCCGCCTGGTGGCGGCTGGTCATGTGCTCGTGGGCAACATCGGCGACCAGTTCAGCGACCTGGTTGGGGAGGCGGCGGCGGTGGCTAACTTCAAACTACCGAACCCTGTGGGTTTGGGGAAGGCAGGGGGGGCAGGGGCGGGGGTGAGGAGGAGAGAGCCCGGAGGAGGTGGCGACGGAAAGCGGGGAGGGTACGACGAAGCACAGAAACGGGGGGAGGAGGCGGGACTTCGGGTTTGGGTGTGTGTATGCGTGGAGAGGGGAGGAAGTTTGGGGAGGAAGGGGGGGGATTGAAGGGGCGGTTGTTTGGAAGGGCCCTTAAAGGTCTTCACCTCCTGACCAAACACCACCCTCTCTCACCACCGCCTTTTTCTCCTTCACCCTCCTTCACCCTCCTCTTCTCCTTTTGGCATCATCGGCAAGCAAAGTCGCTGTTTTCGTACCTTGCCGGTTCCCGGTTGCCATGTCAGTTCAATCCGGGCCAATTTCCATGCATGCTGCATGTACGGCATGTTCTCTTTGCCGTGTGTCTCTTCGGTTGTTGATCTTGGCCTCGCTTTCTCTTTCTCTCCCTCCTTCGCACACACAGGTGTACACGCTGCTATGAGTGAGCATGATTGTGGGAATGGCCGAGTGTGTCAGCGGGCGGATGTGGATCAAGCGCCTGCGCGCCACCACCCACCACCACCACCGCCGACCCATAACGCCAACAACAATAATAGCAACAGGCCTTACAGCAATAGCATTCCAAAAGTCTATCAGCAGCAGGAGGAGGAGAAGAGGCGAGGGTGAGGGGGCGGCTCCCTTTTGAAAGCGTGCAGCAGGATGCATTTGGCAGTGGTGGCAGTGGCGGCGGTAGCGGAGGAACGGGAGGAGGGTGGGGTAGATGGGGAGGGAAGACAACGACGACGAGCAGCAGCAGCAGCAGGAGGAGGAGAGGAGGAGGAGGATCAGCAGCAGCAATATCATACACGCTACAGCTGCAGGTGCATTATTGCAGCGGCAGTAGCGACAGTTGTAGTTCGTGTGCTTCCCAACTGCATCCGGGCCACCTACAGAAGACATACAAACATACATACATTCACACCCATGGTGTGGTAATTTGCAGCTGTATATCATGGACCTTGCTGGCGCAGATCCTCTTCTGATGTGTACAATATATGTATGTCTGTATGTGTTGTGTTTCACCTCCTGGAGTTGTGTAAGTTACTCTCCGAAGGCTAACGGGCCTCACCAGTGTAATGCAGTGGGGTCGTTACCTCTTAACTGCGGATGGATTGGGGCATTGGGGGGGGGGAGGGAAGGGGGGAAAGGGGAGGGAGGGGCATTTGCGCGTCGTTATCTGTGATGCGAGGGCCGAGTCCTCGTGTCTCGGTTGGGGAGGGGAGGGGAGGGGAGGGAGTTCGTGTTAACATGGCAGGTGGGCGGGTGGTCGGCTCGGGTCGGTCTGCCGTGTCTGTAGGTGAGCACCGAGTGAAGCGAGATATGAACTGTCGTTTGCTTGTTTGGTGTCTGTGCGGCCCCTCGTCGCTTTGTATGGATTGAAACCAAAATTAGCAACACGCAAACATACACACAGACATATACTCGTCCACACACACTTTAAGCCGGGGATAGTCACCGGCAGGGAGTCACGTTCGGTATAACCTAAACTTGAACTGTTGTCGTAGGAGTATTGTTTTTTTTGGGGGGGGGACCCTTTAGCGGTTTGGGACTTCTGAACGCGCGCGGTTCGTCAGGCCCTCCCGCTTCCCGCTGCTCCGGGCTTGTGGCTGGAGAGGCAGAAACGGGGAGTGGCAGTGGCAGCTGCCTGTGTCGGCGGCGGTGATGAGAAACCGCTGCTCAGCAGAAGAAAAGGGGTCGTTCGCTGCGTCCGTATGGATGGATGTGTCTCGCCGCAGTGAGGCAAATGCTGATATGGTGGCACAGGAGTTGAGCTGAGCTCAGTAGTCCAACGACGTGTGAAAAGGTATCAAAAGGAATGTACGTATGTATGTTGTTACAGGGTGGTTAACTTCGCCAGCGGCCCCCTTTCCCGGGACAGTCCCTGCTCTCCCCTGCTAGAGGGGCACCCTAATCCGTCACCCCATCCGACTTCAGAATGTATTCGTTGGGTTCGGCAACTCACCACCAGCATCCAACCAAATCTAGCGGATCAACGGCGCATCAACTTAGTTCCTGGTCAGCTCGCAAGTTGGTATTATCACGTCCTACACCGTCCATAAGATGGGGGGCCACCTCCCATTTCATCACTCCTCAAACACCCGAGGAGTTGGCAGGCGGATTTGAACCCGGGTCGACTGGGTCAACTGGGAGCAGAAGTCAGGCCTTAACCTCTGCCAGCCGCCTGCCAATGTACGTATGTATGTACCTGTGCATGTATGTATGTATGTGTGTGCTTAGGGGCAGGGGGGCGACCATCCTCATGAGTCAGGAGGGGCGAAGTGGTGGTAAGGCAGCTAGAAGGAAAAATAGAAGCACGCGTCGTGTTTTCTTTACAGTCCGTGCTCGTACCTACTCGCATCGTTTTCGAGTGTATTTGTGAATCTAGTCTGTCTGGCAATGTCGCCAAAGAGGAGAATGGGGACGCGGAGGAGGAGGAGGAGGAGGAGGGGGGGGGCTTACAGAAGTTATAAAACACAGGCTAAACAGGGGGTTTACTTAGGGTTTGTGCAGGTGAGACATTATTGGCGTTCCACGGCAGACACTGCTGCTCCTGTTGCGCTGCGACTTAACGGTGGAAGCGAGGGGGTTTGTAAAAAGGGGGAGGGCTCCAAAATGATAATGCTTGACGTGTATTATCGTGCCCGTATGCTGGGAAAATATACGGGCAAGAGAGAAAAAAAGGTCCGGCCACAATGGGTGGTACACACAGACGTACACGCACGCACCACTGTAGAGAATAGGATGCGGAGTCATGACACCACCGCGGGCAAAAGGGGGAGGCAGGCAACCAGGCAGGCAGTGCCGCAGGAGAGCAAGCAAGTACACCCCAAACAGGCGTCCGCAACAGGACAGATCTGCTGGCAGATCTGGCGTGGTGAGCTTGATGAGGCGCTACGTCAGATGAGGATATGGTAGCAGTACAACAACCCTTGTTGCACCAAAGCAGCCTCGTGAGGGGGAGGGTGATGGGGGGAAGGGTTCTCTCGTCCTCATTTCTCTCGTCCTCCGAAACGGCGTTGTCGGCTGTGACACCACACCAACAATGTATGTTTATGTGTGCTGAGGTGGGCCGGGTGTTAGGCTGATGTGGGTCTTGGCGAGTGGTAGGAAGTCGTCGACGCGCCGTAGTGTACTAGTGGGGTAATACTGCTGTTCAGATGTATAATGTTGTATCCCGAACTGCTACTACCAATATGTGGCGGCTGTGCTGCCCTCGAAAAGACAGCATTGCATATCTATTTATCCATTTATCTATCGGTATAGACGGATATATATGTAGATATAGACGTAGATTTATACATAAAAAATACATACATACATGCATCACCACAAAGTGGTGATTCACCTTCCCATTCCGCGGAAGTCCACCCGCACCTTAACCATCTATAATACCCCCCCATATAAGTGGGTGGAAAGAGGTTGAGGAGGAGAGGGATCCGAGAAGATAGAGCCATCCTGAAGTTAGTTACAAGCTCCGCACACACACATACACACACATACACACACGCGCGTACACACACATACACACGTGCGGGGGTGTCCGTAAAAGCCTGAGGGGGGCCCCAAGGACGATAGATTGGTATTTGTGCGGGTAAGGGGGCCCCATTACAAACGTCAAAGGACTGGATGCCTTCCGGCGCGCCTCAATTCATCGTTCCGTTCGGGCCCCCCCCCAAGCAGCTACCCCGACAGGCACCTCCACAACCCGGATTCCACCTTAACCCAGTTCAGCTACTGAGCAGCCGAGCACCACCATCACTAGCACCACAACCACCAACACCACCAACACAATGATAATTTCTATGCTAATGTAAGACGGGTAATGCCCCTAGCGAGAGTACTACCAAGCAGAGGAGCAAATGCCGAGACAGAGAACTCCAACCCCCCTCTCTATGTACATCTCGCTCTCCCTCGCTCTCCTGCCATCACCCTAATTCCCGCTCTCTCACCCTCCCTCTCACTACCCACCTCCCGCCGCGCACACCGCCCACAACCCTGCTGTGTTCCCCTGCACCTTCCCACCCAGCTTCCCCACCCCCTATGCGCGCCGGCTCAAGTAATCATCAAGTCCTGGTGCTCACTAAACCCTGCACCCTTCTAAGGGGTTTCTGATATTTGAGCCGCGGACGAATACATAGGGGAAGAGGCTGATGAGGGTACTCGAATAATGAATTCCCTTTTGACTCTCCCTCCTCAACCCCACCCCTCCCCCTGTCCGCCCCCGCCCTGGAAGCCCCATCTCCCGCATCATTCCTCCACACCCTTTCTAGCGGGCCCCCCCTTCCTCTCCCCTTCCTTACGACCCCCGTCTTCGCCCCGAGGAAGTGGAGGACGAGGACGCACCGAAACCCACTCCCCGCTGCGGTAGGGCCACATCTCCCAACGACACCTCCAACTTATCCGCCAGACTCGCCAGCCAGGCCTGATCCAGACGAGAGAAGCCACGTACCGTGTCGGTTCCCGCCACCAGCACGCCTTGACTGCCCACAGGCTGGACGACAACTCCTGCCGTATTTTCCGGCAGGAAGGCCGTGAACTCGGGCCGACCGGGGTATAGCACCAAGTTGGCTAGGTAGTTGCCGCGACCATCTTTCATGGCCTGTTGGCAAGAGGAAGCGAGGGAGCGAGAGCGGGGGAGAAGGGGAAAGGGGGGATGCGGGGAGAAACACGGCGTAGTGCTGGGAACGTGTTTTTTTTACGCGGGCTGAGGCGGAAAGAGGTCGAATGATGTTTGAGTGTGCAGGGTTACGTGGAAGGTGGCAATGGGGCGTGGGATAGGTGGAAGGTGTTGGGAGCTAAGCGCAAAGTCCTAATGCCCGACTGCCACTCCAAAGCACCAATTGCCGAAGTCCAAGCGAAAGAGAGAGATGGCGGTGGGTTGTTTCGTTCGAGAGGTAATTGGACTCGCCCGTGGGACCGCATCTCTGCGGCTTCCGTCCGCAAGTAAGCCCGATTCCGTCCGCCCACCTGGTTGCAAATGTCGCCCGGTGTGGCGTCACCGGGCTTCCTGCCTCGCAGAATGTAGCCGTAATGGAACAGATTTCGTCCCTTGTATATTAACACTAGAGACTTGCACCGCGTCGCCTTGAACACGGCGTCGCGGGCCCACTCGAATTCACGCAGTAATTCGACGTTGGGCTTAAGCCCTGGGTCGACATAATTGACAGTCGTGCCATCCAAGTCCACCGCTGCTACTTCACGCGGCTTTAGGGACAGCCATTGAAGTCCCGTCAGCAGCAGAACAGCTGACAAGACGATACCCACGACATCTGCGCGACTCTGACTACTGCTGGCGTCAACGACTGGTGCTATGCCAGAAAGGGTCCGATTTAGCAGTAACGATACGACTCCCAGCCCGCCAGCATAGAGGGGCAACGCGCGAAAGACCTCAGCATTCTGGGCCACCAGCCCAAACGACTGGTCCGGGACGACTGTCTCAGCGATCTTCTTTGTTGATCTACAAAGAATTACTTTGTAGCGGTTACATAACGGTAAAATTGGCCGTAACTTGTGATCAGCACTCGGTGATGCCCCGACTTGCTGTCGGCTGGCTAGGGAGTTCATGACAGCACAACTACTTCCTGCTACACAAACACAAATTCTGTGCTGCGCCCCCCATTTTGCTAGTTTTGCATATGCGTACCGTATTCCGCAGCGTGTGGTGGTTGGTAGTTGCGTGCAGACATTGCAAACGCGTATTCCCGGATTCAGGAAGGGGTTAATTTCTGTCAAAGAGCCCCTATTTCTGCAGGCCAAGTAAAAAAGCACAAATCCGGGTTTTAGTGGTAATCGTCAGTTCTTCGCGACAGGCTTGCGAAACCGACGGTTCCGATTATCCTATTTCTGCAAAGTACCGGGTTTTGGACCGAATTTCTGTTCCCGGAACCTGGGCACTGTACGAAAATCCCGAAGCCTGTGCACCGAAGGCCATGCCTGCGTTGACTGGCGCCGCTGACTGACCAGGAGCCGAGCAGAAGTTGCCTTCAACCCCGGGAAAAATCTGGGGCGGCTTATTTGCCATATAAGATGGAAGGCCAGCAGCCCTCCGTAGCCTAGTATAGCGCCATTACTAGTGCTTCGCAGCCGGTCGGGGTCGACCCGAACGGAAACGATCTAGAGGAAACGCGAGCCATGCTACTTATTGCTACTTTTATAAGTCGTGCATATAATCATTACAGTGTGAAGCAGCCGCAGGCATGCCCTAATTTTTCGAGGTCCTCCCGAACCGAGCTCCTTAAACCCCTACCATCAGTTTCCATTAACATCATCCATCTCGCCCCATCCATGCTCATTCCGTACGTGGACACAACTCCCCTCCAGCGCGGCGGCGGGTTTCCAATTCAAGGACGCCTTTCCGAATCCACCGACGTACATGTACATATACGTGTATACACACACACACACGCAAGCATACTTACATCACCGTATGATGCCGTACAGTCGCGTTCACAGCGGTGCCGGCCTGCTTCTGAACCCCCCTTAAAAGACACATTTCATGAGCATTGCGTCGTACATGTCACGTCGCTCACTTTGAAGAGATCTTCTGTAAGTGCTTCCCGCGACTTTCTCACCCATCGACATGCTTCTTTCCCCCTCTTGCCGTACCACGACACCAGCTAAACCACTGGAATACGCACTTTCCCCCTATGGGAGGGGGTCGTTAAGAGCACCCACAGGGTTCAGCCCGCCTCCGCTGGTGATGATACAGACACAACAGATACATCAGCGGCAGTGACAGCAGCAGCATTGTCATCATCGACTTGTATCGCCATAACATCATTTCCATCAAAGGCAACTGTTCGTCGCCTTTCCTTTCTTTTCGCGATTCTTCCTTTTCTTCCCTCCCGTCTCGTTGACTTGTAGACTAGAAGCAATAAATTACCAACAGCAATATCTTGTACTATCCTTGTATCCTTGTATCCCGGGAAAAGAACGCCACAGCGGGCCAACAAGAACAGTGATGGCGTTAACAGCAATAGCACCAAGGTTGCGGAAAGATGAAATCAGTCAAAGCAAAAGAAATCAGGCAAAGCAGCAGCACCAGCAGCAGCAGCAGAAAGGCTGTGCCTGATAGTGGTGTTCCAACGAACAATCGGCAGATGTGTGTCCGGAGCAGCCCGGGAAGACCCCAAACCTAGGCCCCCAATAAGGCCCTCAACCAGACCAGCGGCGGCGCGAGTTGCAAACGAGAGGCAAACCCGCTCCAAAACCCACCCAGCCAAAATTCTTGTCCCCCAACCAAACTTAACAAAAACCCTTTCTTGCCTTTTGAAAAAGGCTGACCCGGTAGGGAGTAGCCTGCTGGCGGTGCCGAGGGCCAGGTTTACGGGCTAATTAATATGTCTAAAATACCAACAACAATACCAATACCAACAACAATATCAACAACAACAACAGCACCACACGCACGTAGTAAAAGTCCACATGGCGGCGCGTGTGAGGGTCGAAATGGTCGGGTAGGGCGGTACACGCGGTACACTTCATGCGGGCACTTCATCCTCAGCTACACGCTCAGCTCAGCCCAGCTTAAGTTGCTCAATCAACACCGCGGCGGGCGGGTGCACAGCTACACCCGTGAGGTGGCCCCCGACAGCCATACGGATGCACACACACACACACATTGGAAGGCCATTCATGAAGCAATCCGTGCGTACGTTCTGTGACATACATACATACACAGACAGACAGGCAGAGAGATAGACAGATAGACGGACACAATGTTGACACATACACTTCGTATGTGTGCTGCTCCGCTGCCTAACGACGACACGAAACATTAGTGACAGGCCGGAGAACGAAGGGGAGGAGGTGGAGGAGGTGGAGGTGGTGGAGGAGGGGGGTGGGGAATTCACAGTGATTCCTTTTTTATCTTAACTATATCTTCCTCCTCAAGCTCATGGTGTGCTCATGACCGCCCCCTTCTCCCCCCGAAATAAATTACTCCGCTCCGCCACCCGCACGTGTTCAGATGTTTCAGCGGCGCACGCACGACGCAAAGGACACACAAACGTACATGCGGAGCAGCATGCACGCACACGCGCCCACGCACGCGCGCTTCCACGCACCAATCCCACCTTGCCCAAAAAATGTCAAAAAAACTGCCTCAGTAATAATATTAAGGATATTGCCGATGTTACGATACATCGCTGACAGAACACACACACACACAGGCGATGAGGGAAAGAATGAGGGGAAATTGGACTCGGGAATCTGAGTTCAGGACAGCGAACAAACGCCGCACCTGCGCCGGAATGTGGGGGTGTGGAGGTGTGTGTTGGAATGTGTTGCATGCGTTTTATGCCTTTTGGAGCGTGCTGCAGGCCCTACCAACATTTCGGCCCGCTTCATATATCTAAAATTCCAAAAATTTATCCAAGGAAAAAATTCCATAGATAGTGAGTTGTACGGCAGTACGATAGCAGTACGAACAGTTGCACTTGTGTGTACGGATTTTATCAACATTTGGCGGAAGTAGCAGAAGTATGGGATTCCGTATGGTTCGTCTATTGGGTGCATGTAGGCAGATCACCCGAAAAGACACAAGTACACGCACACACATACATACGTACATACATACGTACATACATTACACACACTCTCTTCGTTCCGAATTACTTTTTGCTCTGCGCCGGCTGCTTAGAGGCACATTAGCCGGGATCCGAAGCCTGACTCCGATTCAATCTGAATCATATGCTAGGGGCCCGCCCGCCTCTCTCTCTCTGTAACCCTCACCCCCTCTTTAACATTCAAATTCCTCACAACAGCGCCTGAAGTCCGCAGAGCAGTACGATCCACATTTGGATTAATTCAGCACATGGAATTTGGATCCGAAGTACGGCGCATGGCATGACGACATGATAGGGTTTTAATAATTGATACACAAACGGGCAACGGGTGATTATTTTACCATCATGAGCAATTCATAAAAAAAACCGACGCAGCTTCTTTCTGCCGCGGCCCCCCCAACACTATATATATACATACATATATATACGTATATATATATATATATATATGTAGCGCCGATGTCAGACGATAGTTCTGCTCGAATTCAAATTCAAATTGCAACGCGCTGGATCAGAGATGGATTCCCAAAAAAGGAAGTTCAAATATTCACAACCAACCAACTAACCAACCAACCAACCACAAAAACTCAACCACGAACAGCCCAATCACAAGGTAAGCCGGTGATGTGACAACCCGGCAATATGGTGAAAGGCGGCATGGCGACGGGGAAAGATATAATAGCAATATAGCAATAGCAATACGGCTTCGTAATTTTTTTCCTAATAGTGAAATAGGACCGTCGTGCAAACCACAAACGGGGAGGAGGACGTACCAATGGCAGCGCTATCCTCCCCCCGGGAAGACGAACAGGTGCGTTCCCCCACTCGGGGTTGTTTTGAATTTTGAAGATCGTTCGATTTCTTGGCCCCACTTCTCAACACCGCCATACATGCCACCCTCCACCCCTCCAACCTCTACTCATTCATTCGCATGTTGCTTTCCGCCAACCAGCTACACACACACAGAGACACACACACAAACAAACACACACGCGCGCGCGCTGGAGACACTGGGCTCCTTCCAGTGCCCTGGGCGGCTGGAGGGGGAGCTCACCATGAAGCTCAATACACTTGTAGCCGCAGAGCACTGGCGGAGGAACAATTCTGCATACATACGGCCTGGAGCAGGCAAATATACCCGATGGTGGTTGGATAACGAAACCGGGCGGCGATAGGATTCGCAAGGATAGGTGTGAGTGCATTGGTAGTTGAGCATGCGCTCGGTTTTGCTTGGCATTTGAGCTGGCCAGAGGATTCGAACAGGTGACGGCGCCTTGTGTTGATGATAACGGAGAACGGTCAGAGGACTCTTGACCGATATATGACGCCCCTCCAATGATGGAGTGCTTCGGCGGTCGTTCCCGTTGGGGTACGCGGTTAGCTGCCCCTGGCCAGTGTCCCAGACCCGGTCAGATACTTGTAACCTTCAGATAGAGACACACAGACGCACACACACACACACACACACGCACACACAAACGCACACACACACGCACACACACACGCACACACACAGCGGCGCACATACACACACACAGCGGCGCACATACACACACACAGCGACACCCAGAGAGGGCGCCCTCCAGCCTTCAATCAATCATGCTATGTATTTGCACCCATCCATCCATCCATCCGGCCTCCATCTGCCGCCGGAAATCGCAAAGGTCGGTTCAAGAACACACAGGAAAATAATGCTTCAACTGATGTCCTAATCATTGTGGGCGTTCTAGGCCACCAGTCAATAGGTACGAAAGGGCGAAAGGGGGTAATGGCGGAAGTGTGGCAGTGGGCGAGTGGGGCCCGGGGGGTAGCATAAGCCCCTTTCCTCTGCCTTAGGCCTCACCCCGTCCTTCTACCGTACGCACACGTACACTTACATATACACGCGTGCACACACATGCACACACATAATCCCGCTTTTGTCATTCTCCAATCTTCCGCCTCCTCCTCCTTCCCCCTCCTTCCCCCTCCCCAGCTTCTCCTCCTTTTCCTCCTCCTTCCCCCTTCCTTCGTATGTAGGCAATCCTGCACCCACCAACCCACACATCCTCAACGTACCCTCCCAGCAGGGTCGCATCGCCTTCCCTTCCCTCCCTCCTTACAGCGCATCCCTCCTCCCGCCTTCCCTCCTCCATTCCCTCCCTCCTTGTCGCCATGGTTGTTCCCCCTCCCGTCCTAACCCCGCAACATTCCCCCATCATCCGCATTATCATACAGACATACAGACATCACGGCACACAACTCACCGCCTTGTGCGTGTGCGTGTGTGTGTATCATTTGAGCCGCGACGGAGGAAATGCCGATGGTGGTATTTGTGCGCTCTGCACATGCTGCATGCTGCTCGCTGTGGTGGCTGCTCGCCACCACGACTTCTGCCTGCAAACTCAACAGCCACCACCACCACCACCACCACCACCACCACCACTTCCTCGTAAGGCTGTCAATACCGCAAGTACGAGACTCCAGAAAGTGACATTGCGCACGAGAGGTAGGAAACAAGTTAGGGCAAGCATGTCGGGGGTATATCGAGCACGTGCTACTGGTGACTTGCTGCTGTTAGATATAAGTGTACAGCGTTAGGCGCTCAGATCTCCGTCCTCTCGCGCGTTGAGACTTTCAATGATTCCTGGACACGCCCCTCCCGCCCCCTCCCCTGCCGGCCCCCCTCCCGCCACACACACATACATACACATACACACACAACGAGATGGCGCTGCAACAAGAAAACCGTAACTATCCAAACAACAAAAAAACGCCGCTTCAAAAAACGACCATAAAAAGTCGACCTTTAACTGCATCAATTCCATAAATACGACTTGCCGGGCTGTTTTCCCCGCCAGCCTCCACCCCCAGCACAACCCGCCTTCTCCCCCCCCCCTACACACACACACGCACACAGTCCCCCACCTGCCCCCCTGAATCCCTCCCCTCCCACCTAGCCCGCCCACCAGGCCCTACCCCATTTCAATCCCCCCCGACAGGAAGGTGGCCGTCCTCATCACCTTGCCCGCCACCTCCTTCACGTCGTGCCCCCCCCACGCCTCCCGCAAGGTGCACACCAGGTACTGCAGCAGGTTCCGGAGCTTGGGCGCCAGGGGCCGGGTGGGGGCGGACAGCAAGCCCGCTGAGGGCCGGCGGAGGAGCGGACCCGCCTCGCCCACCTGCGCCAGGGGACGGGATTTAGGTATTGGTTCCAGGTAGGGGAGGGGGGGTTGGGAGGAGGTTTAGAGGACGAGGGGGAGGGAAAGGGCGAGAGAGGGAAGGGAGGTAAGAGATTACATTGAGGGAAGGGAGGTCTAGAGGAGGCAGGGTTCCATTCGCAAAGGGATGAAAAGGGAGGGAGAGACAGAGAGACAGGCAGACAGGCAGACAGACAGACAGGCGTGAGCGGGAAGTCAAAGAGAAGCCAGGGGAACCGAAAGCCAGGAGGACGAGGAGCGGCACGGGCTACTTCCCCCTGAGCCCAGAGCATCACACATATATACACACCCCTTGCCGTACCGATCTGTAGTACTCGTACACCAGCCGATCCGTCTCGGGCGGGTCCTCCTCCTCCTCAAGGAAATATTGCACCATGTCCTGGGGTTGGTATTAGTATAACGTCACCAACATCACCATCATCATTATCATCATCATTATCATCATCATTATCATCATCATTATCATCATCATTATCATCATCATTATCATCATTATCATCATTATCATCATCATGACATGACGTGTGGGCACAACGTGTTTTTATGAACGAAAACCTGGTGTGTGACATGGGAAACTGATACGACACTCGGCTGTTGCTGCCACTGCTGCTAGCGCTGTTGCTGCTGTACCCGTACTGCTGCTACTGCTACCCCCCCCCCTCCCCGCCGCACCTGGGAATCGGGGGGTGAGATGGCGTCCGCCACACGACTCACAGCCTGGGAGTGAGGGGGGGGGGGGGGACGGGGGCGTACACGTGCGCATGTTTACGTGTCTGTGCGTATGTTTATATGTGTGTACGTAGGAAAAAAGGGTTGTATGTGTGGGGAGAGCTGGCGAATGGATACCATTCGACATTTCCCCCTCCCCTCGCCCCCAGGGTTCTGATACATTACACACACCCATACATGCATACACACATACACGCATACACACATACATGCATACATACAGGATTAGGGTTGCCCTCTAGCAGGGGAGAGCAGGGAACTGCCTCGGGAAAAGGGTCGCTGGTGGAGCTATACCACCCTGTAACAACATACATACTTACTTGCATGCATGCATACATACACACATGCACCCTAAGTATAACCCTAAAACCCTCATGTACCTCAATGAAGTCCCACAGGGTCAGCGACACGGCCCTCTGACGCCGCCGCAGCTCATCCGTCACCAGCGCCTGGCTCCACGCGAATATCAGTTTGGCGTCCTTGCGGCTGAGTCCGGTGGCGGCGCCCAACAACTGGTTGGACTCCAAGAAGGAGAAGAAGTGCTCCGGCCAAAAATAACGAGCCCTGACAGACAGACAGACAGACAGACAGACAGAGAAAATGCACATCTATGGGGGCGCCAATAAACGTTGGTTTCAATACAGGAGGCCCCACATGTGGTCCAGGTATGTATGTATGTATGTATGTATGTATGATTGCGTTCCGGCTCCACAAATTCTGGCCTCTCCCCCACCCATAAACCTCAACAACGACCAATCCCCACCCGCCCCAACCCTTCACATACACACACGAGTACGACCACCTACCTGTCCCGGGCCTTATACAGTTTGAAGATGCCTCCCAGCAGGTCCCAGTACTCCTTGATCACCTCCTCCACCTCGGCCGTGTAGAACCGGACACGTCTGGACGTGTGTATGTACGTATGTATGTATGTAGGAGCGTCGAAACAAGGAGAGGGGGAAGCGGGGAATCAACATAGGGCGCAGTAAGATCCCTCTTCAACGACCCGCGCCCGACAGAAATAACTTACTGCCAACTGTCAATTAACCGCTTAACTGCCTGTTTTTTACTTTGGGTTATGAAGGGCCCCCCTCCTCTGGTCAATCCCCTCGCTGTCAGAGACTTCTCCTATCTTACCCTCCCCTACTGCACCCCCCCAACACACAGACCACACACACACGGAATCCCTTCCACGCCCCAGTCACCCCTCCCTCCCCATTAACCTCTCCACCTTCCCCCCCCAACCCCCTCCAACCCCACCTCCACTCGTTGGGGTCAACCCTCGCCTCCGGGGGTATTCCGGGTGAGGCCGCCACCCCCTCCAATAAGGCCCCTATCGCGTCACTGGCGTCAGTCATACGCCTGTGGGTTCCGCGGGGGGGGGGGGAGGTACAAGGTGCGAAGGAGGATGAGGGGGGGGGGGCGGGGGAAAGGGGGAGAGGATGTATCAATACACAGCAGTAAAGGATACGATTGCTGACGACCAAAGCAACTGCCCCGGGGAGTGTAGGAGGAGAAGGAGAAGGAGGCGGAGAGGAGAAAAAAAGGGGGGACAGGGAAAATGGAAAAAGGCGCATGCAAGCAAATGCTAATCCCCCCTACCCCCCATCCCCCCAGCCACCTCGTCCCCTCCCGCCAAAACCCCTCCAGACCCCCCACCACTCACTTCGTACTGATGAACTTGGCAAATGCCACCCTGATAAGGCCCTCCATGAATTCAAATCGGACCATGGCGTCGTCATCATTGGCAGCGGACTCCTCCGTCTCGGACTCCTCCTCGAAATTGACCGCCACGAAGATGTTCTGTTGTTTGATTGGGTTGGGAAAAGTATAATAAACACATCAGTGGTGGTGTATGTGTGTATGTATGTATGTACTTGTTACATATCGATCCGGGCCAGGGGCATTTAACCGTACCCCAGACGTATGTATGTGTTGAGAGTGGTGATGGCAGTGGAGGCTGTGTGGGCAAAAAAACCCAACCTGCCTACATACATACACGCATACATACACGCATACTGAACAGCGAAAGCTTCCTCAAAAGCTCAGTTCCTCAAGCGGTGCAGCTGTTTAATAACGATAACTGCCCCCCCTCCCCCCCCTCCCCAAACCACTGGCCCACCACCACATGGGCGCAATCTGTCCGCGTGCTTCCTGAAACACACACACACACACATACATACGCACACACACCCTATCCCACCCCCACCCCACCCCAAGCACCCCCCCTACCTGCACATCCATTCCCGTGCATCCCTTCCCCACAATTCCCGCATCATGGCAGAAGGCCATCCAGGCACTGGGACTCAGCTGGAGGGCCTCCGAGGAGGCTGAAGAGGGGAGGGGAGGGGAGGGGAGGAAGAAATACATGCAAAAGTCAAGGAAACACGGGGGCTTGGGGGTAAGGGAAAAAGAAGGGGGAAGGAGACAGAAGCGAGAGAGTGGAAAGAGAGGGAGCGGGAGAGTGGTTTCAAAGGCGGTCATATGGGTGCGTGGTTAGAGGTGGGTCCAGAGGTGGGGGTACGCATCTATAGGGTTAGGAAAGGGTGAGCGATCCCATGTACTTGGGGTGCTGCTGATGCTGTGCCGCA